AAGGTATAACTCTCAATCTGTCCCACTGAGGGAAGTCTGTACCCCAACCCAAGAAGACTGGTTACAAACACCTTTTGATCTCTCCTCTTCCCCTCCCCCCTAATAGACCATTTTAAACAAAGAAGGTTGTCTCTTCTTTGGGACAGTTCAAATTCAAACACATCACTCTTATCTCCTTTGGGATTTATACTTTTGAGAACCAAATTGTTACATTCCTTCCATAGACTCTGCGACACAACTTTATGATGTCACTGTTTATAATGGCATACATACTTATAGCTACGGAGCCTGAAGATGATGCTACTTATTAAGCACTTTTGCTAATACAAAGCAGGGAACAATTCTCTTGATAAGTAAACCCCTTGTGATTGGTCACCAAGGAAAATCATGGGGCAAAACTGAATGGGACCAAATGTGATGACAGCAAAGATCCCAGGAACCAGGAATAATGATTTTTCTAACCCTATATAAGAAGGGAGATTATCAATATAGTGCTATATACATTTCACGTGCCCCAAAGCACCCCTTCAATGGCATGTTGAGGAGCTTCTAAAACTCCCCACCAGAGACTTCCTACTTAAGTATCCAAGGGAACAACTCTTTTGTGGAATTCGAGTGAATGACAACTTCAATGCTTTGGGCTCTAGACCCTTATTTGCCTTGATAGTGTTCTGATGATGATATTTTATACTGTGCTGTGAATCCGATCCCCATTGTATATAATTAATATTTTCCAGGAAAGTACAGTAAGTGAGGTTCATGGACACTTAGAACTCCCTCACCCACCCTCATCTACTTAAAAAGGTTTTTATGTTCCAGTCAGATACTTTTCAACTACATGATATACATGCTTATCCCTGAGAAGCAGACACTTGGATATTATAAGGTAGTAATAAGGAGCTATCAGAAAGTTCAAATTCAGACACATCACTGTAAGCCTTATCTTCCTCATTCTGGTCCTCTGGTCCCAGAGGGTTTGCTAAAATATTATATCCTGTTTCATTAACTAGTTCTAATTAGTGGAGGGGAAGAGAGAGAAATGAGTCCTGAGAGCCCATGAAGACTTCAACTCTCATCAACTTAACAATACCAAACAACCAGAGATGATTTCCTAATGATCCTTGCTTACCCCACCCACCACCCTTCTTCACCTCAGCCGAAAACAGCAAGAAATGCTCTATTCTTTCACTTCCCCCAAACTGAAAGCAATAATGTCACTCGCCACACACAGAACTTCCATAGAACTCCCAAGGGCCATTAAACTTATCATGACTGTGATCCTGTAGGTCCTTTAAATAAGCTGGAGAGAAAAAACAGCAACCTGATTTTACTGAAATTAATAAAAGGGTTTCATGAAAGTTGCTGGATACATGGTCAAATATACAAAAATTGGTTGCATTTCTATACACTAAAAGAATGAAAAAAGGAAATATAGCAATTGCACAATAGTATCAAAAAGAATAAATACTTGGGAGTAAACTTAATCAAGGAGACAAAAGACTCATACACTACAAACTACAACTTTGTGAAAGAAACATAAGAAGATATGTACAAATGAAAAAAGATTCCATATTCATGGATTAGAAGAAAATATTGTTAAAATGTCTATACTACCC